TAGCAGAAAATCTCTGCTAAAATCCTGTTCTGAACAGGAAAATCCTGTTCCCCCTCCAAGTTTGGAAGGGAAAGAAAACAGGATCCTTTATAAATCCTACTGCTGAAAGCACTAGAGGCTTTCCCAGTTGTACATGATTGAGAAGAGAGTCTGAGACAGACATACTGGCAAGTCTAAGCTTGTTCTTCAGTAGCTGGTGTGTGAGAGAAAGCCATAACAACTTTTTGAGGCTGATGGGTCGTTTCTCTATATAGAACACTTAAAGTCTTAAGTTTTATTGCAAGTGACAGAAATATATAACTAATCATTTAGGCTCCCTTGCTGTCTTTTGGAAGGCATTTTGCAGAGAAAAAAAGCATGCTGTTTGAAGTCCTGGACACATAAAAGCAAATGTGGCAGAACACTTCTACTGACAAGCCAACAGGCACATAAATTTCTGGCCAGACTTTACTCAAATGAAATTTACTAAAACTTTCATGAAAGAAAGCGAACTCTTTTTATCTTCTCATTCTTTTCTGCTCCAAATCTCTCCTGACCCACAAAATTGCCATACATTGTTATGCTAGGAAATCAGTTGTGCCAATTATCAGTCTCATGATATCCAGTCTTTCAGCTGCTAGAACTATGTGTTTACCTGAGAATCTTGTATTTCATTTAAAAAGTAAAATTCTGGTTCTGGCTCTTATCATTTTCTGTGAAAAGCTAGAAAACATGAACTCGAGACTCAAAAGACAGAAGAGAAATAAAAAAAAATTAATAAATAAAATAAATGTATATTTGTAGCTATGAAGTTCCCACGAATTTGAAGTCAATTTCTTTATTTTCTTAGTCCACATTCAAGGAGTTTTTGTGTTACAGCAGAAATAAAAACAGGAGTAAGATAACAAGGCCTCCCTCCTTACAGCTGGGCAACTTGTATTCACTGTGTCCCCTTTCTACTATAGCTACCCTCAGAAACTCACTTAATGTTGGTGCGGAATGGCCAGAAGTGTCACTAAGGACTACAGCAATGTTTGTGCCTGTCCTTCATAACTAAATATGAAAATGTTTGAGGCTGCAAGGAGCACTGAAAGCTGGTGGAATGAGTAACAAAACGACTCTGTAGCCCAGCTGCATGTTATGTTGCACAGAGAACACTGGGCTGACAAAAGTATATCACATAGATGCCACAAAACTAAGAAATAGCAGACCTTACATAAGCTGGGTAATGATCTTAACTAATAATATTATAGTAATTCTAGTATCTAAATATATAATAATGATGGGAAAAAAATCAGCCATGCATCATCATCATGTCTAGGCTTCGCAAACGAAGATTTGGGAAGGACTTTACTCACATTTATTACAAGCACGCTGGTGGTTAAAAAGACCAATGGGAGATAGACATGTCTGATTGCAAAAGGCACAGCAGAAAGACTCCTTAGGTGGTATATTCTGCAATACATGGTTCTTTCTGCGTTGTCTTTTCGCCTCAAGAGTGATCCTGCGTGCGTTCTCAAAGGTAGCAGCTGCGTTATAGATGGTGTGTCTTCAGACCTCCCAGTTGGAGGCCAGAGTAGACCAGTTATGTTGATCAATATGGCCAAGGCTGAGATGTTGTTTCAGGGAGTCCTTGTATCTTTTCTTTGAGGCTCCTCTCTTGTGGCAGCCAGTGGCAAGTTCACCATAAAGCAAGATCTTAGGGAGGCGGTGGTCCTTCATCCTTGAGATGTGTCCTGCCCAACACAGCTGTGTTCTCAGCAACATGGCCTCAATACTCGTAACTGCTGCTTGTTCTAGAACAGACATATTTGTCACATAATCTGACCAGTGGATGTTTAGGATTGTACGGAGGCAGCGTTGATGGAAGCGTTCTAGAAGACACAGGTGGTGGCGGTAGATGACCTATGATTCAGATCCATATAGGAGAGTAGACAGCACTATGGCTTTGTAAACACTGATCTTTGTACTTTTCTTCAGGTGTTTATTTCACCAAACTCTTTTATGGAATTTTCCGAAAGCACTGTATGCCTTTGCTAACCTGTTGTCTATCTCTCCATCAATCTTACCATCCAAGGAGATGAGGCTACCTAGGTAATTAAACTGCTGGACTGATTTGGGCTCTGAAGCCATACATACTCAGCAGGATTTAAACTTTGAATAAAAACAAGAAATAGCAAGGAATCAGTCTCCTTTCATTGCAGAAGAACATGGAATATACTGAGAAGTAACCTAGAGGAAGAAAGGAAGGGCTGCCCTGTGGTTGGTTCCAAAGAGTAGGGTCACTGTAGCTGGGTTCTACCCTGACACGGCCATTGACTTTCTGTGAAAACCTAGAAAAGTCATTAAATATCCATATATTTTATTTCCCTCATTTCTGAAAAGGTGATGATAATAATAACTACCCCAAAGGTTTAGTGGGTTTTACTTCAGTAATGTTTGTACAGCATGTACAGCTCTTGACCGGAGAGTACTATAGAAATGCTAAGTATTATTATTACATGGGAGTATTAGAAAAAAAAGTAATGCAGTAGGAAATTCTTTAATAGAAACACCCAAATTAATATGGGATGATTTTTTTACAACAGAAAATCAAGAGGTCAAAATAATTTCCTACTTCTGATTTTAACAATCACTCCTCCCCAAACATTGCTCTCATCTTGGGTCCCAACTGCATGTGAACTACATATTCAATTCATCCTCCAATTGTAAGATGAAAGAAAAGCACCTAAAAAATGGAATAACTCTTTTTCCTAAGGCATAAGTGTAATATAAAGTATAACATTATGGAATGAAAATCAACAGCGTTGTTGAGTTTATTTTATTAGAAATGATTCTCTGTGGACAGTGCCTGTGTGTATAATTGGGATGGTACAGCACAGTAAATTTCCATTAAGAAACAATGATTCACTTAGTACGGTGAAGACAGTAATACGGTTAAACTCTTAAGTTAAGTGGAAAGTAAGTCAAACTAAACCCCAACAGGTTTTCTGCTAGGGGCATAGATAATGTTTTTGAAAATGTTCTAAATTTTCTTTCTCAAATATATGTATTATACATTGCAATATTCTTAATTATATCCATTTTCTCCTTTATACACTTCCCCAGGAGATTAGTGAAGAATGGAAAACTTACTTATAGTGGATTTCAGATTTAATGAGACAAAGATGGTTTAATATATATGACAAAGTGATATGCTCTCACCATATTTGATAGGTAATTATTTTTTATACTCTAATGGCTACCATTTTGAGAATAATTAATGTATTATTTGTGTAATTAATAGATAATCAACTGAGTATTAAAAGACTCTGGTTACATGGTGGTGGGTGGTACTACACTGTTTAACATCTCTAGAGCTCTTGGCATGTTGGCATGACATCACATCATATATGCATTAAAAGTTTTCCTTTGAGAGACTTGTGCACATTCAAAATACATAAGTAACATTGGTATGATATTTCTGTCTGTATATACATATATATATATATGTTTCTGTGTCATACATACATATATAAGAATGTATATTTTAAAAAAAGTTTTCCAGAACTTAGATTTTTAAATGCATAGTTCTGCACTTAAATAAATGCCATAACTTTCCACAGATATAAAAACATTCAGCATTTCCTATGGAAAACATGCATCTATTGCTGTGAAGTTCTGCAGGTCTATCAACAGTCCTTCATAACCACTAGTTTTGAAGTTTGTTGACAGATAAAACAGAATCATCATGATTTTTTTCCCCATTAGCAGAAGACAGCAACTCATTAAAAAAATGGTATTGATGTCATAAGAAAATTTAAAATTACATTCAAATGGACAAGCTCAGGAACCTGAAAACCATCAACTTCATCTATATCAACATAACCTTCTCCCAAATCATCATGACTGGAAAATTAGGAGTGAAGGAATGACTAAATGGGAAGATAGTAATTTTTCTCGTGTTGTTTTCTTGAATGTTTGTATAAAAAAAGGTATGTTTAGAGGTGCTGGCAACATGCTCTTTGAGGTGCTGATTTAAGAAACTGTCCATCACCTTGAGAGTGCTGTTGCCCTACACACCCTGGTGTACTACTGGAAGAGAAAAACCCCTTACCTCCAAAGCTCAACAATGATTTGTGATTTCTTTCTTATTCTTTGGTCAAAGATCACTTGCAGAGTAAAGTGACTCATAATGATGACCAAGGTGAGAGCTTATTTAGAAGCTATGAACAGAAGAAAATGACGTGGTTATACCAGATCTGTTTGCTAACTTAATAGCCCTCTTTCCTGAATGATGCCACTACTTTTGGGGAATGGATCAAAACATGCAACCTCCACTAAGTCAGTTGCAAAGCTGAACATCGGCCTTCAGTTGAAAGAGCTTGTTCATCTGAATATAGCACTGCACATACCATTCTTTTCCCTCCTTTCCATAAATTTTCAGGCTTAGGTTTAAGATGTGGCCGAGATTGATGCAAATCTCATGGTCTATGTTTTTTCCACATATCTACGACCTTGAATGTTTTCTCATATATGCTAAATTTATCTCTCTGTAACTGTTACCTCAGATATGCTATTCTTGACTCACATGTGCAAAGAAACTGATGATCACACACCTTAAGTAATTGATGTAGGGAGTGAAATTCAGAGTGAAGCTTTTTGTGACAAAACTCAGGGTTTTTTTTCCCCCCTCTCCATGTCAGAGGGGTTGGAACTAGATAATCTTTAGGGTCTCTTCCAACCCAAACAATTCCATGATTCTATGATTTATAGTGAAGTAGAAGGAAAGAAAATTATTGCTTTTCCACTCATGATGCAATTAGTGCCCTCTAAAATTCTCTTTTGTAAAATGTTTAAGAAATAAATATTATAGCAAAGATTCAATAAAACAAATATGAATGAACACACAGTACATAAATGAAGGTGAAAATATATTATTAAATATGTACATGCATTGTAATATGTTATGTATAAAATAAATATTTTATCCTATCATAAAGAAGAGTTTCTCTACAAAAGGATGATCATTTTTTTATTACCTTAAAATACTGCAGTTGTTTCTCAGCATTCATTGTTCCTTCATTTTCTTGTCTCAGACAGGAATTGAAGATGAAAAGCTCTGTATCTCTCAGCCACCCTTTCAGCTCTTTGATCCTGACCTCCAGCTGCCTTACCAGGCTGCCACTTTCAGGCGAGAGCAGGTCACGTGGACCCAACCCACTGTGCCCTACCATTATGTCTTGGATCTTCTCTCCTAGGGTTTTCTAATGCATCAGATAAGGAAAACATAGATTAGTCATATGTACCAAAACATATACCAAAACATATGTACCAAAACACATACACATAATGTGCAACAAGAAGTATCTGTTAGAAGGCCAGAGATGTGGTTTTTTTTAATAATTATTACTAATACCAATAAATTTGATTCTTAGTTTCCTTGTTTCATTCTATTTCATTTTTTTTTTGTACCCTTGTTTCTCACTTATGCTGTTCTCTCTGGGTCACTGACTGTGCTAGAAGGATTATAAATCAATGTTTATTAAGAGCAATTAAGGACAGAGGAGACAAAATGCTACATAACTTTGCAAACTAGTTACTCTACAGAGTTTGTCTGTGGCTTTAGATGATTATGACTGTGAAAGTTACTGGTTTCCAGGCAGCAAGAGAAACATGACAAGCACTGAGTTCACCAGACTCCTGTCCAAGGTACTGTCTACATTTTTGGAGAAACAATGAAATATTTTTTGAATTATGTTTTATGAACTGCCAGGTCATAATTTCCAAACATGTAGCCTTGGGGCTATATGGAGGAGCAGTTAAGTCACAAAAGAGTTGGTTTGTTTTTAAAAGTGGATGGACTCATTCAAATGTCAATAAGCTAGAAACTGCAAATCTTCACTGTTCCTGAACATCAGTCCAATTATTTAGGCCACCAAATTTGAATCTCAGTTCTCTGTGTTAAGCATCCACTTTAAAAATAATGGACCAGAATAAACATTCACCTCTGATTGCTAATGAAACTAATTTACTACATCTTTTCAAAGTAGTATTTCTAATAAAAGAATCACTGAATAACATTTTGATAGTGGACGCTGTGAGCATAATGAATATTCTGAAGAGGCCAGGGATAAAAAGTTACCTTTCTTTTCAGTATCTTGAAAGGCAATTCTTTAACATCACAAGGGAGATGTGCTGTTGCCTGCTTCTTCTATGCTAAGACATATTTTATCTGACCTATAAGAGGCTGTCAGGCAGACACTTATTATGAGCACTAGATCTATGGTACTGATTGTTGAATATTGAATTTACACTGACACTCACATCCAATAACCTTTTAAACTGATAATTATTGGTGGTTAATTGTTGTAACATGAAGATACAGTTTTAGGTGACCCAATATGGCTGTCTGTTGAAAATATAGGCTTTAGAAAGTTACTGGAATACCATTTATAACAATGAAGTTAGCTTCCAAAAATAAGCTTTGAAACACAAATAAAATTAGAGCAACTGATACTAATCTACTATGTGGCATTCTGTAAATAACGTCTGTAGGAGATCATAACTGAAAAACGTGCTTTCTTGGCAACACCCTTCTATTTTCATGGTGCAAATATTGATAATTTGAAGGCCCTCAGTGGAATTCAGCACTAGCTATTGTTTTTATGCTGTAACAAAAGTAGCAGCAGGAGGTGAAATCAATGCCCTTGGAGGGTAGGGTCACAAAAAAGAATTTATTGCCACTTTTTTGTTCTGGAACAGTTTGCAATCATAAATTCTTCATAAACAGAATACTTCAGAGAATGGTCCGTCTTCATAAATATACGACAGAGGACATCAATTTCATTTAATTCACAATTTGTGTCAGCACAGCAGATGCCAATGCCTGCCTTGATAGGGTTGTTTAATATGCAATTGAGACAGAGTAATATTCAGCACAGGGGACAAAATTTCACAGATTAAACTGTACGCACCACTGACATTTCATTCTAATGTATTTCCATTCCACAGTGTTCACCTTAGATGAAAGTAATATTAAAAACCATATCCCTCTATTTTGCCATTGTTAGAAGTTAAAATCCTTGTCTTTAATTTTTTTCATGCCAATTAAAATGTAATCATGCCAATTAAAACAGTATGTCTAGTGTTGTTAGTTTCTGCAAAGGTTTTTATTAAATTAAACAAAACTCTATCAAACTCTGCTTATTATTCATGAAACTGCATTTAACAGGAAAACTGTAATAGTTATATTTTATTTTTCTGTAAATGCTGAAATTAATGGCAAAAGTTAATCTCGAGGTATATACTGAGAAGCAAAGGGCTTCAAATTAGGGCTTCAATTTTTTTTTTAAGACACAGTTTTTTTAGATTTTTAGAATTATCATCAGTTACTTATAGTTTTATATCCTACCAACTCTAGTCACTGCCACTGAATTAAACTGATTAAATACATTGAAATTCATAAATGTAAGGGTTACATCTGAAATCATTTTAAAAATACAAGTTGTCATGATCAGATGTAAAAGATTAGGTTACTAAGTCTTATTTTTATCAATAAATTTATTAAAGATCAAATAGATTCAAAATGCTTATGGTGATGTTGCAGATTAAAAAGTAATAAGATTACTGATCATAAGGCAACTTTTAACATTTTCTGACAATTTGCACATTTAGAGAATTAAGCAATTAGAAGAAACTGTGCTGAATCAAAAAAGCCCCGCCCTCTGAAACAGCTATTGCATTGCTACATAAGCTGAAGTGACACAAGTCAGTACTTAAAATGCTGTTGGCAGGTTGCGTATATAGTTTACTCTTAAAATAATAGAAATATTTTTAAACTAGGATAATAGCATGCAAAATTATGCAATGTAACTGTATTGCTAATATCATACATCTATAATTAATCATTTAAAGTAATTTATAAATTTATCTTACCCTTGATTTGAAGTGAAGGCAATTAAGGAGAGAAGTGGATGGAAAAATATATAGTTTGACCTCTCTCTCTCTCTCTCTCTCAGCTGTTTTACAACAATAGGACAATAGTGTCTCCTGCACAGTGCCATCATCGGTCTCTGGGTAACAGAATCCCTATATTGCTTTTTTTGCCAGATTCTTGTATCTCACTCTTTGGCTGAGACCCAGCCCACCATAGCGTGAAATGAATTACACGAAACTTTTTTGGTTTTTGTCAAAAGTGAGCTGAATACAGCAGCATGAAACATATCCTGGCTGTATTCTCAGTTTCAGGTATGCAGATTTGTACTGAATCTGTATATTTGTTTTTGAGCCACCAGTGTGACCTGAAGTATGCAGTGACAGCCCCACTTTTCATCTTAAAGGTATAGTAAATAGTTAAACAGTAGATGTCTCTAACATGTACCTTCAGAATAAATTCTATTAACATTCACTCAAGCATGACAGTCAGTGTATATCAGATATACTGCATTATAGTTGACTTGGTGCATACCCTTAATACATGGCATATTTTACTTACATTTTTTATGTATTAAAGAACTAAAATTATTAAAGTCAGACAGGAGACAAGCATGGAATAAAAAAAAATCAACAGAAGAGGAAAATACTATGGAGTTTTTATAATAGAATGAGTAGTTTGTTTGAAATGTTCATGGTGGATTGAAAGAGAGATATTTGTGCTTCAAATTAGAAATCAGACAGACAGTGTACTTCAACACACAAAAATGTACACATAACCCACAAACAGTAATAAAAATGCAAATACCCCAAGCAGTTCCCATTTTTCATTAATTGAATCCACTTTTTCAAGGAGATCGTTTGGTAGTAAAACACCACTTTTCTTCAGAGCTTCAACCTTACTAAGCAGTTCCATCTTTTTCGGGTGCCTGATTGACATTTCTACACTGTATCTCTAAAAGGAAAAGAAATATATAGTATTAGCTGCTGTAAAGAGTTTTCATTATAAAAAAATAAATTTTCATTGTATGTGCCCAGTTCTGGTCATGCTTACTCTGACATTTTTTAATTTTATTTTTTTTATATACACAACCTTCTCATGACATATCATAAGAGATTTAGGTACCAAGTACATAGACTTCTGCATGACGTATATATGCAGGCAGTTAGCAATTTATTACATATAGTAATATATTCAGTCTCTCACAATATTCACTTGTACAGTAATATTCACTAATACTCTCCCATCTGAATCTTGATCTACCTTTCTCTCATTCAGGTTAGTGGGACCTTATTTTTCAAATATACTACTTCAACAAGTAACAATGAGGCTCTCAATTCAAAACCAAACCAAACAAAATCCAAGGAAATAATTTCATAATTATATTTCCTCTACAGCTTATTTCTTCTCTCTTTCATTGTGGATTCTGCCTCATAGATGGGCCTGAAATGCTAATTAATACATATGAAAATGTGAGAGTTTCACCTTAGAAAAACAATTAGACATAGCTCCCTTAAAATACAGTAACAGTAATTTGATTTTTATAGCATCAACCAACAGGAGCACTCAAATGGCCCGCAAAAGAGAACAGCCACAATGTTAAAACAGTCAAATCATTTCTTCAAGCTGAAACTACCTTTTATTTCCTGCACTGCTATTTACTGATTAAAAAAAGAAAAAAAGGACAGAGAAAACAGATATAGGAGAAAGAAGAAAAAGAAAAAGATGAAGCTTCTTTCATAATTACTTTCACAGGACTTTCTAAATCTTTTAGCTGTATATTACTTATAGAGTGTATACAAATGTATTCTAATCTACAGACACATTGGCAAATAAATATTTTTAAAAACTGTATTCCCCGGAAACCTGAATTAACTATTAAATATAATATTTACTATAGTGGTTATAAATGTATTCATAGTTGATAAAGTAAAAAAAAACCAACCAAAAACATTAATACGCAGGCATCCATTCATATACATACCCTCCATATAGTTAACTTAATTAAGTATAAAAACATTGATTGAAATAGAACTTCTGATATGGCCAAAAATATGCCTCTTACTGAGAGAGAAAAGTTCAGCACATATCCTTACAAAGGTGTTTACAAGACATACATAAATTATGCATAGCTATTAGCAAATTGCTTCCTAAACATTAAGCTTTCTTTGCTTTAAATTCAGCCAAGAAAACTGCTATGGCAGCTCATACTGGAAATGTTAATAACTGGGCTAAGTATAAAAAATTAAATGAGAATAAGGAATGTTTAAAACATGGATGCCTTCGCTAGATCAAAGAACATGCTCTGTAGGAAAACAAAGCGAAAAGACAATTGGAGACAGCCTAAAGAAAATAATAAAGGTGTGAAATCACTGTTTCAGCTAACAGGTTCTCAGTATTTCCATGCATATGTTTGCATATTGTTAGTTTCATATTTTAATCTCTCATTTACACAACACATGCACATCATTTGTATTATGTAAACTTCAGCAAATATTAGTCATTTGTGGATCATAGAGCAAATGTTTTAAATGAGGTGATTTAAACCATTTCTCATTATTAATGAACACTGATCAGGTGTCTGTGTATCCAAAATTGCATGAATATGCATAGTAAAAAACAAGGAATTGTTTACAAAGAGCTTGCCTTTTGACACTTGGTGTACTGCTGCTCAGGTTTGAGACGTACAACAGTAGGCAATACCTACCAGGATGGGTGCTAGGGGTCTGGACCCACCAAGAGGCACCACTATTTTATTCAACTAACATGTTCAACAACCATGCTTCTTGGTCCTGTCTTATTGCCTTTTCGGCTTGAATGGTTACTGGAGGAGATTACAATCTTCTTTATGTAATCTGATTTCTATTTAAAGATGATATAGCTGAAAAGGATTTGCATAATTATTTCCATAAGTACATGTAATATCAAGGGGAATCCAGAGTCCGATTTGCTAGGCACTGAAATCCAGTTCATGTGACTCCCTTTCTTTTGTCAAGTGAATTAATAGACTGAGGGAGTCCTCTAGCTGTGTGTCACTGGTGCAGGCACAGCTAGTTACTGCTCTAGGCTGGCACTTGTCTGGGCTGGGTATGGGGATGTTTCTAGGCATCTCAGGACTGATGAAGAAATAAAATACATTCCATGTTTCATAACTACAATGCTCTTGTTAACATAGAAACAGAAGACATTTCATTTAATTTTGGACTAGATAAAATAATTCAGTGCTGCGTAATCCAAATAGTGTGACAGATGTTATAAAGGTTATTACGTTAAAAACTAAATAAACTAGATTTTATGTATGTGCTGTTTTTGTCACTGTGTAACCTACTGTATAAACAAGCATGATTGAAAGTGCTGATTGATAGAAAATGCATTATACAGTAACAGTAAAAGATTAAATAATTCAGTTGATTATCAGATGTATTGGTATGTGACTGAGAGTCAGTATTGTTTCACTCACGGATATTTAAAATGCAGTGTGTATTTTAAGGGAAGAGCTTAATGTACAGGAGGTACAGTTTGAGATAACACAAAATGTTATTGCTAATGCTATTTTTTAATCCATTAAACACCTAGACTCTGAGCAGTTGCATGGAAAAATTAGCCACCAGCTCTATCAGTGCTGCACAACCCTAGTCTGGTAGGACTACTTAATCCTTTGGTGAGAAGATAATTTAATCTTCAGATTCATTCTTTCCTCAGCTTTAAGGGAAAAAAGGCTGTTCCATTGTGACATTCTGTGGATGTTATGATATAGAATACTGTTTAATAGCCAAAAATGAGATTAAGGAAGTTAAGGTTGCAGGCTTCTCTCAATAGCCAAAATAATAAATAAATGAGTAATATTTAATTTCCCAAAATACCGTCATATCATAAAACTAGGAAAAAACACAAACAACATCATACTGGAAAAACTGCAAAATATTTACATCATGATTAGCTGTGGGTATGCATGTCTGGTTTTGTGTTCCTGAAGCCACTCAAAAGAAATCCAAAACATTGTTACATAAGTTAAAGAATTTGGCTTTTTATTCCTTCTCACTCAATACAACAAATATTTCTCAAAGGACAAATAGTGGAATTTAAAAAATGGCAGTAGTGTTTATCTGGGAATAAGTTTGGCAGAAATATTTAAGCCACAAGAAGTTGAATTCCAAAACAAATATAGTTAAAACCTTACTTTTCCTGATAAAAACATTCTAAGAAATAATTCAGGCAGGCTTGATTGAGACACATTTTTTGACACTTTAATCTAAACTGGGTATTTTTTTATTTTTTCTTTAAAAAATTATCTAAAACATTTTTTTTGTGTGAAAAATTACACCCGAAAATTCTGCCCAAATGCAGACTGGAACAATGCCTTGTAACAGTGTTAATTGTCACCATGGAAACCAGAAGAATAAGCCATTTTGAAACTGGTATAGAAGGCACACATTGAGCAACTCAAGCATTTTTCAGCCTCCCTCAGTGTTAAGGAACAAGATGCCTAGTCACTGAGAGGTCAGAGAAAGAAATCATCATGAAAGGGTCGTAGATGTGCACTGTCTGGTAAACAATAAAAAAATCTGTACACAGTTAACAACTCTATAAGACTGCACACTGCATCTTTCAGAAGGAGAAACACCACAAAAAGGTGATCAGGACTGGGGTGCAGATTCCACCCCTCAAGCAAAACTTTAGGGCAATAATACGCGAACCTTGCCCCTAAAGCTCCCTGGGAATTCTGTTGTTGTAATAAAACTTCAGAAGAGGAAAGGAAGAAAAAAGCCTGCATGATGGAATTCAAAATAATGCTCTAAAAGCACACAGAGAGATTAAGACATCCATTGTAAGACTTTTGTATGGTGCTTCTGTTGGTTATAGTGAAAAGAGACCAGACATACTGAACACACAGTGGAGCTATGGCTACGAAGTACAGAAGAATTAAGCCAGTAAACTTTCTCCATTACTGGAATAAGGACATACTATTCGTAGATGTTCTGCATTCCATCATTCACTACTAACAAAGTATCTTCAGTCAAATGGCACTGTAGGATATACAACTGAGATCAGGACTGAGTGACCTGCAATTTTAGTTTTACCTGCATTCAATCTTTAAACTTTAAAAATTTGCCTTTTGGGATGTTTTGACTGCTGCAGACACCAATAAATACAGATACATATCCTCGGTGTCTGCGTGTGCACGCACAGTCAGCATTGGCATACATTTGCAAAATATACTGCATGCATAAAATTCAGTAAAGAATACTCTGCAAGCAAATTCACCAAATATGTAATAAAAGTATATACAAACATATATATATATATATGCACATATAGCAATATTTGTCCATCATCTCTTCACACACATTTTCTTTGCTTTCTGGATAATGTTTGCACTCTTCATGCTAGGCTTCATGGTGGCCCCTTAGGAAGCCCATGCCTAATGCCATTCAGTGATGAACAAAGAGTCTTTTTATTCCAAAGTCCAGGGTCCAAAGCTCAGCTGTATACAGGCAAAGTGAAGGAATCTGCTAGAGGCCAGCCTACCCTTCACAATAGCCCTTAATGCTTCTACCTTTTTGGTACTGTCAATGTGAAACATTTTAGAAACTGTCCAGGAGCTTGGTTATATTTCTTATGCCATCAATAGCACTAGAACCTCTGGACAACATTCAAGATCTGGGCTGAGCAATCTGTCTAGATGAATAGCAGTTGCTGTTTCTTGCAAACTTCATGTATTTCACCATTAGCAATTTATGGCAAATAATTGCACAGAGAAATTATAAAGACTCCTACAATTGTCCTTGTAAATTAATAATAGGCTTTCTTGATTGGGATAAATTTGCTGCTGAGCCTTTGGAAAAATTAAAAAGTGCAATGTCATTTAAAATTGCCAGAACTCACAGAGCAAATTACATCTGAGGTTAAGAATCAGTTTTTCCTCTTCCAGTTTATTCCATTTGCATGATCTG